GGCCATCCGCGCCTAATACGACAGTGTGTTGTGTTGCCTGTGCCCTGCTTGTCTTGTTCTACCGACTCGTTTTTGCAGCCGTCAATGCGTGTAGCAGCGCGCACTTGGCAACTTCGGGAAAGACGGGTGTGTCCCGCCGACTCGGAGGCATGCTTGCCTTTGTTGATGCGTGGCTGCATCCTGAATTCCAGTATCAGTACCTCTGTGCGTTGTGCTGCAGGTGTTTGGTAGCACGAGGCCGTGCTACCTGAACACAGGCAGTCATGGTAGCAGCCTGGCTGGCCCACTCGCGGTCGCTCGGGCCTACGCAGTCAACCCAACGTCTAGTACAGCTTGGCGTGAACGACGACTGGCCACCTAGAATGCCTCGAGCTTGGAGTCAACTGTGGCTGCTTATGACGTCAGGTGCGTGCTTGTGCTATTGCCCTCTTTACATCGGTGCACGTTAACGGTCTCCGCCTCAAGTGTTGGCTCTGAGAATCCCTGCGCTGTACAAACGGTAGGGACTGGTGTGCCTTTTGGCCAGCCACAAGGACCATAACGGCACGCACATTTTCCACTGGCGAGGAACTTGTCTGCGTTCGACAGCACGCGCACGAACACACGGCCATATGCACGCTGTCGCCAAGCATGGCGGCCTGTTTGAGCAGGCGGACATGGAGGCCAGCATCGAACAATGTGATGGCGGTCACGAGACATAAGCAGAGTCAGCCTTAGGCCCCACTGCGGGATGACGGCTGGCCGTTCCGCTTGCGATTCACAGGAGATGGGCGACTATATCATCACTGCCCGCGTGCATGCTGCCTAGAAAGGCCATGACGAGTTCAAAGATGATGAGTGGTGGGGAGGAGTACAACACATCTATACCTGACATATATGACTCTCAAACTCAGGCCACGGTTAAGTGTTCACTGTCGGCGCTCGATTCTTCTGAACAGCTTGAGCCACTGCAAGAGTAAGTTCCGTGCACTACCGTGTATATACCCCAGATTACCGTCAGAGTGCCGTGTGATTACCGTGGCAATGCTGTCACTTTACCGTGTTGGGTCACACAATTACCGTGGCATGTCACGAGTTTACCGTGGCATGTCACAAGTGTGAAGTTGGTTTTCCAAAGCATTTGGGACAACTGCACATTTGGAATATCATACTCAAGGAGCAGAGGATACTGAAGTCTGTTTTCGAAAATATTTCTTTGTTCTCTCAGGAAGGGGAAAGTAAGTAACGAGAATAACTAGAAAATGTGTCATTTTAGGCACATTTGAGGGATTACAGGGGCGAAATAATCGCATAGAGCTCCCAAGGTATATCACCCTTATCCAAATATATGCTGCCCAAGACCAATGTGTGCTTGGAAATGGAGGAATACTCCATCTGCGAGTTTGATGGCTGCATCAAATATGCAACCCTCATCCATCAAACTGGGCGTGACAGACTGCCGTCATCTTACCGCAGATTACCGTGGCCACGGTAAAATGGCAGGCGACAGTAAATTATGGTGTCCCGGCATAGGGCAGGCTCAGCCAGTTGAGCAAGCCGTTCGGGCGGGGTGTGACGTAACAGAGTCACACCCGACGGTCCAGGGGGTCGAGGGGAGCAGCCCCGCAATAAGGGCTGTGGGCCCGCACGACACCCCCTGAGGCGCTTAAAGAGAGTTGCCAGCCCAAGGGGTGACATATCTCCTTTCCTGGAGGAACAAGTCGTTGCGGCTCCTAGACACCGCGTGACGACGTGGTGTGACGCGTGACATCCGGGCCCGATCGGGCCCACACCTCCCATCACCCGGTACCAGGGGAACCCAGAGTTTGAGGCCAGAGAGCAAGAAGAAGTGGCTAGGACAAGGGTGAACATAAGAGATAAGTGCCTGGGCTGTCCAGCCCAACAAAGGGCTCAGGTCAATGAGGCAAGCTAGCCTGGAGTGTTGGAAGTTGTCTAGACACCCCTTTCCTGGGGTATGGTCGCAGCAACCCTGCTTGAGGGGACCAGGCCGGAGTAGGGTTCAAAGAAAGAGACTTCAATGCAGCAATGCTAAACCTAAGGTACAGGAGTAATACTTTAGTCTTCATATACTGTGGGCACTAGGGGCCGATTGGGCCCACTGAGGGTCGATCAGAATGGAGCAGGGGATGTCTCTAGTCGTCCCTGGTCGCTCTGCTAGGAGCCTAGGGACCATTCCTCTGGAAAGGAGCCATGTCAAAGTCGACACCAAGGAGTGTTTGGCAATGCAACAGTAAGGAGCTCCCTCCTGGTTCCTGTAATTGTCTGGGGCCGATTGGGCCCGCTGTCAAGGGTGTCTGGCGGCGCATCATGATCCCTGATGGCGGGTCATGATGGTTTGATGGCTGACTAAAGCGCGATCCGTGATTATGTCCCTTCTCTGGGATATTAGTGTTGTTGCTCAGTGCTTTGAGCTTGTGGATTTATGAAGGCTTGTCAAGCCCTAGGGCTCTTCAGGGTGGTGAGGGAAGATGGGACATATAGGGCCCGACAGCCCGACACAAACCGTGACAACTCAGCAGCAAGACTGCAAGGGACTGCACAGACAGTTAATTGAAATAATATGTAGTAGGTAGTATACACTTGAAATTGAATTACAAATACATTTCTATCAGTCATTCAATATAGGAGAATCAGTCAATATCTGAGCTACAACTCTCCCAATCCTCATCACTCCCACTCTCTAAAGCATCTTGCACTGTGAGCAGAAGTGAACAGCTGGCTAAGCCAAGTGAGTGAACCACATCCTCTGAGTATGGCTGTTGACCTGTTGCCTCCAGAAACTGGATTACAGCATCATAGATATCATCAGACCAGAATTGTCCTGTGGCTTGGAGGGTGATTTGAATGGTTGGAAACCCTAGAGCCTTTGCCTCTGCTAGGGAGAGCATTGATTGGCCCAACAGATCTAATGACCAGTAGGCAACAGTTTCTGGACAGGATATGATCATGGGATCAACAAAGAAGTCTGATAGAGGACACAAGAATAGATATCCTGGAAATGGCTGATCTATTGATGATGATATTTGGTGCACTTTGCAGGTTGCCTCTGATATTAGAGCTGTAGCCTATCAGCATAGCAAAAGGCAAAGAAGTAAATCCTACAATAGCTTCTGCGAGTTTGAGTATTCTCAAGCTTGTTGAAGATGCTAGCAGCTTGAGCCAGCCAGGCAATCCCTTGCTCTCCATCCATCATATCTGCACTTATTCGCACAGAGAAATCTTCCATTGAAGAAACTCTAAGCAGATGTATTCAGTATGATTATCTAATATACTTATGAAGCTTACCGAGTCCAGCCACTCCTTAGCAGTATAGCCTTGGTATCATGTGTGCCAAGCATTCTTGTCCAGCCATAACCAAAGTCTAGCATTTGACCATCTGATGGCTGATCAAATATGGCTATTGGTGTCTGTTGTGAAAGCTCCTCAGTCTGTAGCCCATGATAGACACTGTTCAGGTGTAGCTTAGCCCAATCTAACACTTTTGCAGTAGAGCTAGAGCTTAGAGATTCATCACACTGTGAAAGAAAGGCCCAGATTGACATGGATTGAGCCACCATACTGACTGAATCAGCAAGCTTTGTCATGATCATCTCACCCACAACAGGGTAACACCAGACAATACAGTTGGACAGATATTCTGAAGTCCCTGGAAAAAGTTCAAGCACAAGGTAACGGGTTGAAGGCCGGATCCAAGGAGTAAACATTGCTGATGTCTGATCAAATATCAAAGTCATCAACCAAAACAAGTAGATAAATAATGCTTACCACTTGCTTCAGTCCCAGAAGTTGGCAAACAAGACCACCTGCAATCTAAAATGAGCACATAATTATTACTATATTGAAGTAGTTTGATATAAGCTCACTAATAATTCAGAAATCTATATTTTCATTTTCCTCAGTTTCATTATCCAATGTAGCTGGATTATACACACCAGGAAATGTTGATAGTAGATAGTCCACAAAGTCTCTTTATGAGTGAACATCTCTTCAGGAGAGAGAAGATCTATAGGAATTTTATTTAGCTCATGATTCTGAAACAGAGATCTGTCCCTACCATCATGGAAGATTGCTGCATAGAGCTGTCCGCGATTTCCTGTTCCGAACAATTGTAGCAAAGCCGGATGTCTAAGTAGGCATCAGATGAGATAAGATCTAACGACACACTGGCACATTACCGAATATTGGAGTAGGCTGAAATAGCCTGAGACCACTCCTACGATAGTTGTCAATTGCTACTCCAGGGCACAACACTGAGCATCACGACTTGCCTCCATTGCCTTGATTCCCTCATAAATGGCCACACTCATGTTTGCGCTTGCACCATACACTTTGGCGGCAAACATAATCCGCGACGACTGGGATCGTGACACAGTAGCAGTACCGGACGTTGACGTCATTCGGAGATTCCGCAGAAGGTTGAGGTCGCCCCAGTGCACCTGCCGAAACCCGTTGCCTAAAGTTGGATCTTACGATTGTGAACAAAGTTTGAATCGCTGCTAGCAGCAAGCGCAGTGGAATCTCACCTTGTTCCACGGTGTAGTGGTGCGAGGTCGAGCTGAAAGTCCCGCCAACAATAGTGAAGTCGCGGGCATGAGGGAAAAATTGAGGCGGGTTGAGGCCAGTGACGGCGGTCGTCTCCAGCGTTGTTTCTGCTCCGAAAAGTGGCCGAGATCCCATATGTTTAGTTTGTACGGGGATGAAGGAGGCGAGCTCGAGGCATGCACTACAGCAGTGGTCGGATACGTCGGTGGTCAAGTATCGGGTGGAGCCCTTGAGAATCGGGTTCCTCTTTTATACACCCTCTGCGCTCCAACGCTCATGACGTAGGCTCCTACAACACTCCCCGTTCTCGCGCCAACAACTTGACACGCAGCACGACCGAACATTGTCGATCACGCCGTTGGCAGTTGTCCACTCTATGATTGATTATATGGACAAAAATAGTTCAAAAAGATAGGCCCCCTGAATGACGTCGTTGTTGCTCCACGTTTGTATTCTGTTCACGTCCGCGCAGCTCCAAGCGACGCTCTAGACCGCGCCGATCCACCAACCACATCGCTCTCCAAGTCCATTCCACCGTCGAAGCTTTCAAACCCGGACAATCTCCGTCGGTGACGCGTCGGAATTGAGCGAGAGTGAGAATTTGCCTCTGGATCAGCATCAAGGTCGGTAGGAGTTATGGACCCCGAGTGAGAGCTGGAGTCCGCGTCCAGCAGCGTGTCAGAAGACGGGCTGATAGTTGGACCAGCGACATCAACCGCAGCCTGGGGTGGCGCGGCTGGCGGTGAGGCCTCAGCTGCCTGTCGTCGCCTGGCATGTGCTTTATCCAAGTCCTGGTCTGGGATCTAACAGTCGACTTCAGTGTATTGTGCGGGCAATGGATAAGATTCTGAACGCACGGGTAAACGAACTAGATAAGCCAAGAAGGTCGAGCAGGCAGCAAATATGTAGACAGTTTTGAGGCTGACGGCGTAAGAGTCCCTCGCAAGACGCTGCTCTTCGGGGATCAACTCGCGAATTACGGCGCTCGATCGTCTGATTCGGAGAATGAGGTCCTCTGAGCCTGGTGGAAAACGTTTTCTGAGTTCGCTATCTAACCGGGACTGGAAGATCGCTGAAGAGATCGCAACGCCGCCGACTTGGCCTGAGTGGAGGGTCATACCAGAAAACTATTAGACATTCTGAACGTACCAATGCCTCGGAATAGCTGGCCAAAGCCTGTTCCGACGGCCATTTGTGATTCTGGGAGGTGCGCGAGCAAAGCGACTGCGCCAATCAATAACCAATGCAGCAAGGTAACGATGCATACTTAGCATCGTCTGCAGCACCACTGCGTTGCCGAAACCCAAAGGAATCTTCGTGTCCTGATCAATCAACTCCAAGAAATAAAAGCGAAACTCCTACGATACTGAGCCAGGACTGAATTGGTCCAGAGTCTTCGGCGCATGAACGAGATCAGCGTCGCTCCAATGAACGGGAAGAAGCCAAAGATGAGGTTGATTTTCTTGTACCGACCCGTGCGGTGCATCATCCATCCCGCAAACATGGAGCCGGTGGACATAGAGACGCTATTGGGCATAAGATGCAGTCCTGATCTGGGTCGGAACAGTGAAAGTAGGCGACAAATTTGGCTCACCCGCCGTAGAAGCGCTCTGTAGCGTAACAACCTGGAACCACATCGGGAAGAAGTAGGTCACAGAGAAGTTGCACGCGGCCACCAGGAAATTCGATGCGCTGACGAGCACGGGGACTTTCTGTCGCAGCATTGACGGGGCCATGACAGGCTCTGGTGCCACGAAGATTTCGACGATGAGAAACGCGATGAAGAAGGCTATGGCGAGTGAGAGAGGAATGATGACCCGTGTATCGAGCCACTGCTTTGGTCAGAAGAGGTATCAGACCAAATCATAGTGGCACACCGGAAGACTCTCGTTATATCTTGAGCTAAGAAAGAGGAGCAGCGATCCGACTGCGGTGAGGAGAGTAAGACTACCAAAGTAGTCAATCCGCTTTAAAACCTCTTTAGTTCCTTTGGATTTTCCCTAGTGAGGCCTGCGTCAAGGCCGTCGTAAGCTAACACAGGACACTCACCGGCGTTACATAGGTTACATTAAACTGCGTCATAACAGCAGCGGCAATGTAAAGCGGGATTTGGAGAAGGAATGCAGCACGCCACCCCAAACTGGTGACAGTCAGCCTCAGGAAGAGTAAAGAAACTCATCTCACAAATCTGTAATGACGCCACCGAATGGTCCACCAAGTCCCATACCTAACTGCCCGGCTATGAATCCGAAACTACTTGAGCATAGAAGAGATGACCTACGCCATTAAAACAGCTCGCAAGACCTTGGATGAGACCCCAATTCTGGAAAGTGCATTAGAAGGTGTGCAAGTTAAGAAAAGATAGCTGACCCTGAGAGTATACATGTCGCTGACGATGATTCTGAACAGCAATAACAGGAGATGATCAACTTGAACGTCTTCTTTCCAGGAATAGAACCTACGTTGACGTGGTAAATAGGCCGCCACCGCCGATACCAGCAAGCTAACGTGACGGTGAGAATTATACTCACCGAGAGCAAAAGCAGGACTCACAAAGCGGGCGGCAATGAGCGACTCCATGTTTCGCGAAAACCCACATCCAATGGTCCCCGCGGCCGCGAAGAAGATTGCTGTGTGGTTTGCCGCACGGCGACCCATTACATTGCATAAGCGACCATAAAGAGGTGTGAAGGTGCAGGTTGCAAGGAGGTATCTGCGTGATTCAGAGGCTTGTCAACACATTTGGAGACGACGAACGCAGTGCCTAGCCAGCTGGCTTGGTGGAACTTTTGGAATTCGGATGATATAGAGGGCATCACTGGAGAGTGTCACCAATATGCATTTCCGTCAAGGACAACTCACTTGTCGGGACAAGCGTTACTTAAGGAAGGAGTGAGCATGGACAAAGAACGATGCAACGCAAAGAACGACATAACGCCGCACAATTTAACGACTGCGACTGAGTGAGGCGATGACCATGAGATTGGACTATTACTCACTCCGAGGAACGTCCCTATCCATAACCCAGCCAACACTCGCCGCCTCCTGCTCGCCGAAATCTCCAATGGTCCTAATCGGTGTTTTGCGTCATGTTCTTCCACGTCTGGCACAGGACGCGTTTGAGCGGTAGGCTTGCGAATGAGGGGATCGCGTTCATTGGGAACTGCTGCCATCGCCGAGACGGGGACTCGCCAGTGCTGGTGGTCGTGAAGAAGAATGGAAGTTAGCGTGTGACGTTTTTCTGAGCGTGATCGTGCGGCATGACGTATTCGTCGGCAATCGCCCCGAATCTCCGACGAGATTAGATACTGTTGTTAGAGTTTATCACTACTACGAGTACTCAAGCGTCTCACTCATGATGAGAGCTCTGTCCGAATCAGTACATGTTGAAGATGAAGATGTGAAGTTTCCGAATGAATGATTCTGCTTCATTCTCAGGCTCAGGCTGTCACCACTCTCCTTGAGGCCTTGAGTTGCATTCCCATACAATACTCAGGTCCTGCTTTCAACCTGAATCAGACGAGTAATCTATTGTCACGGTCATACTACTCTAAATCGTCTCATCGCCACTTCTCCGCGAACTGGCATTCGAGTTGTCTGCTGCATCTGCATTCGACTCGGAGTCGGCCGACGGCGGCTCCGGCAAAACCGCTTGCTCTTGCCCTGCTGGCTTGACGAGTTTGGGTTTATGTGCCTCATCGAGGTCTTGGTCTGGAATCTGCGCGAAGCAGGTAAGGAAAGAAGAGGCAAGACTCAATCGAGTACTAACCGGCATGCGAACGAGATACGCTAGCAGGGCGGACAACGCAGACAGCGCGTAAACCGCTTTGAGGCTAATGGCATACGAGTCGCGGGCCAAACGTCTGTCTTCGGGGCTCAGTTGGCGCAAGAAGCCGCTTGAACGACGAATGTTCATGATCAACTATTTATCGAAGGCGTTAGCAAGTGAGAAAGTTCATGTTTCCGAATGAGAAGGACCTCTTCAGAGCCAGGCGGAAATCGTTTGTGAAGCTCGGCATCGAGGCGACCTTGAAATACCGCCGAAGACGCGGCTACACCGCCTACCATGCCTGCAAAGAAAGTCAAGTTGAAGGCAATTTCGTACTACATAGACACACACACCTAAACCCCGGAAGAGTTGCCCAAAGCCTGTTCCGACAGCCATTTGCGATGGAGGAAGATGAGCCAGAAGCGCGACTGGAGGACCATGTTCAACGGTATCACTCGGAACACGAGCTTTGGGGACGTACTCAGCAAGGTCTGCAACACGACGGCGTTTCCGAATCCAAAGGGTACCTGACCGAATGTTAGCACAAACTCTATAGAATGTTGATGGGCTACATACGATGCTCAACCATGACTGAACCCAACCCGAGTCTTCGCGCAACATGGTAATGAAAACGGCGCCGATGAAGGGGAAGGCCCCAAAAATGGCGTTGATCATCTTATACCGCCCTGTCTTGTGCATCATCCAACCAGCGAAGATGGACCCAAGCGACAGCGAAACGCTGTTCGGCATGAGGTGCAGCCCTGCGACGTTGTCAGCCTGTGCACTTACGTATATTGAAGTAGAAGTCAAACCAGCCGTGGAAGCGCTCTGGAATTTGACGACCTGAAACCACAGCGGGAAGAAGTACGTGATGGAGAAGATGCAGGCATTAGCGAAGAAGTTAGATGCACCAACGAGTACAGGGATCTTCTGCTGGAGGAGGAACATTGGCATCACGGGCTGTACCGCGACATACAGCTCGACCAGCACAAAGACGACCATAAAAGTCACCGAAACTAAAAGAGGGACGAGAACGAGTGGATGAAGCCACTGGGGATTCAGACGTATTTTAATCAGTCCAGCTTGTGAGGACTTCGCCACTCACTGGTAGACTCTCGTTATATTTAGAGCTCAAAAGCAGCACAAATGCTCCAACGAACGTGAGCAGCGAAAGGCTGCCGAAGTAGTCAATTCTTTTCATTATCTCCTTTGCACTACTGGATTTGCTCTATCCGTTGATGAGGTCAATGGCAAGAGGGTTATAGCTGCGCTCACCTCCGACTCAGTCACATATTGTACATTGAATTGGGTGATTACCGCGGATACAACGAACAGGGGGATTTGCATCAGGAAGGCTGCGCGCCATCCCAATCTACACAAGAGTTACCGCATGCCCCACAGGCATTGAAGGCTTGAAGCAGAGGAACTCACAAGTCGGTAATGAGACCACCAATTGGTCCACCAAGCCCTAGTCCTAACTTGGTCCTATTCAACAGCGTTCCTGGAGAGAGATTTACTAGTAGTGCAACTCACACTGTTAAAGACACTCGCAACAGCTTGAACTAAGCCGCGGTCCTTTGAAGTTCAGATATGTGAATGTGAGGGTAGATATATGGCGTTAAAGAGCGTACCCGGAGCGAATACATATCGCTAACGATGATCCTTCAGCTTGTCAATGGGTGGCACCAGCTGAAGATTTTAGAAGCATACGTTGAAGCCGTAAATACGCCTCCTCCTCCCATTCCTGCGATCTGGATGGAGTTAGTGCCAAGCACTGCTGCACGAGAGACGCACGAAGCGAGCAGCAATCAACCCCTCCATGCTTTGTGCAAGGCCACACCCAACAGCGCCGCCCCCGGTTAGGAAGATAGCAAGCTGGTATGCCCGTCGACGGCCCAAGACGTTGCATAGTCGGCCGTAGAGAGGCGTAAATGTGCAGGAAGCGAGGAAGTTTCTGAACAAGGTTAGAGCCAGTCCTTCTCCACCCAGCGGGGCGTATCTCACGCAGTTCCCAGCCAGCTGGCTTGATGGAATTTTTGAAACTCGGAGGAGATTGCAGGCATCACTGGGACGCACTATCAGACGGGTGGATAATCTCCGGTGAACGGCGTACTAGTAGGCACGAGAGTGACTGCGAACGACAAGGTCACTGAGAGGGATTGCATATTGGAGGATGGCACTCACGATTCATTGCCTAACGAAAAGACTGAGCAACGTTAGAGAAGAGAAGATATATAAGCACGCACCCCAAGAAACGTCCCTAGCCACATCCCCACTAGAATCCACCGCCTCGTTGCCGCAGAAATCTCCAACGGCCCTACTCGTTGCTTTGCGCCATCTTCAGGGTGGGTCTGCTTGGGAATTAGTGGGTCGCGCTCGCTCGACATGGAGGGGAATGGGGGAAGGAGAGGTGTGGAGGAACAAGACCCGAAGCGAGGAAGTCGAGCGCGACTTCAAGTCTTATATAGTGGCTTTTGCCATCGGTCGGCATTAATAGCTGATGACACCGACGCGTTGTTTAGGCGTGTTTGTCTTGCAAGGCGTTATCGCGACTCCGTGGTCATCAAGGTCGAATTAGTATCGCTGCTCTCCACGCAGAGCTAGGCCTAGCCGAGATTCCCTATACCCCATGAGTCGGGATTTGGCCGGGATACAACGATAGCAGCTTCTCGGGCTCGAAGTAGCTCGTGGACGTGGAGCTTCATGTCTCGGACTCGACAGGCCGAATGTTGTTTGGAGAGCCACTATTCGGGACATCGAAGATAAGTAACATGTTAAGAGCTGCACGCCTAAATGCCAGTAGTCGTGCTGAATGGTGGAAATGCTTTGCAAACGGAGCAACGCTTGGAGAGGAAAGACCGCTTCAATAGCTGACGGCGAAAGGACTGCGGAACGCTACTGGTAAAAGCCTACATTCACGCTCCAGAAAGAAGCGGATGTTAGAAAGCGACGAAGCACTGCCGAAGAGCCGGGACTCACTACTGTCGCCCATAACTGGTCACTGCTCGGCCAAAAAAACGGTAACCGGCAGCTCTACTTATCCGTCGTGCCCACTGTCCACACTCGGGAGAAGAATGCATTGAGGGTCTGTGTGCCAGCACCAACCATGCCAAATATAAGCCGGTTTCGCTTCTTGCTATCTCGGCGTCGCGATATAAAAGGCACCCTTGGAGATGGAGGATGCAAGCGTCACGGACCGTGACCCCAAGTCACAGCAATCCTCATTGACCAACGACGATGACAAGGCACCCACATCCCACCCATATGCTCATTCAAATTGCTGAACCCCGTTTAATTATACGGCCCCCACCCCGGAATATCGCTCACTCCCTCCTCTCGAGCTGCACCTTCGAACCCGCCTGCGGTCAAGCTCATCTCTGACTCCACACAACGAAAACTCATTTACGACCTTGCTGCACATCACCACGGGGCTCCAAAGCGGTCAAAGTGCAAGTGTAAACAGACGATTGCGAATTCCAAAGATCGTTTTCCGAGTCCGAGTCATGGAGCTGGGCGATATGAGCCAGGGTCAGAGAGATGGGAATTGAAGGAAACTAGAGATTTTGCGGGTCCGGTCTGCTGGTACGGGGGATGCGGAGGGTCGCTGGAGATGACGATTCAAATGATGTCGCTGTCGCTGTAAATTCAAGGTATGTCTGCAGAGACTTGTCGTATTTGTCTCCCCAATCATCCCCTCTTCCAGGTCTTGACAAGACGGTCATTTACCCCCATCCAAACATGCCTCTAGCTTGAAAGTACATCATTGAACTCCTCTAGAGCGTCCTTTTTCATTCAAGTTACTACGCGGGTCCTCAAGTTGCAACTGCGACTACTGTTCTAACTTCTACCCAGTGCAAAGGTCACCTCCCTGATCGCGAAGCGCCGCGAACACTCTTCAAATATATGATCTTCCAACCCAAAGGTCGTTTGCTTTGCTTTTTCTACATCGTCCCCTTTCTAGTAACGGCCTTTTCACGCTTAAAATGTCTATTCCGGAAATGATCCCTTTTCGAAATCCTTCTTGACTCTCATTACAACGACATAGAAACGAATGAGATAGAGTACAAGTATGCACTTAGGTGTCAATATGTAAGTATATATTTACATGATAATTCGAATAGCATTGTGGGTCTAATCTGGCATTCACAGCTGTTCCAGGCTCCTTCAAGTTAGTACACCCATGGATCCATTTTGTTGACAATTTGAGTCAAGGCCGCTGAGAATCGCTCGCCTAATCGCCCCTCGACAGGTAAACAGGCAATTGACTGTGCTAGCAGCGTTAGCCCAGACAAATATTCGCTGCTGCCTAGTCGTAACGGCATTGGCACCAAAATCGTGTCGCTGCCAACCATGGCCTCTGGGGTGTCTCTATCTTCGACCCAGGGTGCGCCATGCGCAATCTCCAGTACATGCAGCTGCATCCTCCCTCCGCTCTGCCGGACGCGGTCGATGATATCCGGGAATAGCCGCCGAATTTCCGCGGCGCTGTCGGACGCAATGGCGATGGGATTGACTGTTGGTGGGCCTGCGACGTTCATGAACGTGAATAGGACGCAGATATCGCTCATCGGAATTGCTGGCAAAGCCGCTTTGTGGCCCACCACGAGCTCTGAGACCGTGTGCCTGAGTGTATGGAACCAAGCGTTCATCAGGGCCCGAAAAAAACGAGCCATCCGCGTTCGTGAATATGCGACCATAATCTGCGTAAGTTTAGCTCTCCTGTGCGAAGCGGTCAGGTTTGGGGGCACATACATTTATTACGGGCCTGAAGCAGCTGGCATTGATATCGATGAAAACGCTTCCAATCGGAGCGTTGGCATGCTCTGTCGCAGTAAAGTCTGCTCGAGCACTGGGGACATCGTTTGAAGCGTGCTTTATGCATGAATTTATTACACTATTCCGAGAACAAGAATCAGCCATGGTCTGTTAGCGACTCGGAAAACAAGCGAAAAAAACACACTGTGAGATCGTCACAAGCTCTGAAATTCGTCCGGGTCGTTGGAGTCTTTTTCCGGTCATCAGAAATGCCCACGAGCAGGCTATTGACATGCTTTTTGAGGGCATGCCACGAATTAAGAAATGCAGGTTCAAGTTGCAAAAATCCGGCCCGTCCGATGGCGAACGCCAACAGAATCGATGTCATCAAACCCTCTCTTCAAGGCGACAAGGACCGAATAATAATAGCTGTATGCAGGCAGCGTAAGCTCGAGTAGGCTCCTCACCTTTTCTGTCGTGTCAAGCTTGATTGCAAGTCCAAGCTCAATATTATGCTGCGGGGGGCTCCAACTCGTGGTGGTCGAATGGCATTTCGAGTCTGAGATCGTTACTGGAGAGTAAAACATGGAGCAGTCCAGCGTTTAAGCCCCTCGATTAGCCAATGGCGTGTTGTTCCTGGCTTGATGATTAGCTGATAAAGATACGAGAAGAGGAAGGTCGGGTCGGCGGTACGCTGTGCGCCGCGGTGTCTGAGGTTATAGTCGAGGCTGTTCGAAATCCCGTTGCGTGAAGGAAGACCCCAGGCAAATTTGAACTCGGGCAATTTGCGACTTATTTCGGCGGAATTTAAAGACTCAACCAATCGAGAGTAACGGAGAATCGTGGCTGTCAATGCGCCGACAGCGCCAACTTGACGGAGATCGTCTGTGAAGGTTGGATTCACCGACTGCGCGAGATCCATCATGATGAAGAACACGCTGAGTGATGTGGAGCATGAACGGCGATGCATGTCCGAGTCATCCCCCGGATCTGGAGTCCTCCAATATATTTGCTCCGGAGTAGATTCAGAAATATGCCGCACTGTGACGACCAGCATATGCGCGAGTGCTCGCCAGCTTCCAGCGCCGGAAGCGATGCTTCCAAAAAAATCCTCCAAATCCCTTGTCCCGTCAGCCCCCATAATCACGGTGAAGAGCGTAGACAACTCCCAAACGTATGCGGTTTGAACGCTCACAGGGGGTTTCGAGTCTTGCTTGAGTGCGAGTCGGCGCCAAATGCTCCCCGTAATGACGAAAATAGCGTGGTTGTTAACCAGATCAGCTCTGAAGGCGTGTTCCGAGTCATTTCGATTGAGAATGCAACTGAGAATCGTAATGAGGGTATGCTCTTGCTCGTCTTGTACGTGGAACGCAGGCATCTCTTCCCAGAAGGCGTCTAAAAGCGTCACCCAAGTCCAGATGCGTGGCCAGATCTCCGGAACAACGCCGTCGGGGAAACGTTGTAGACAGACCAAAGAGCTTAATCCCTGCAGGGCCCACAAGACGCGGAAGATTTGTTCCTTCGCGACATGAGGGTCCATTTCCACGAGGCTTTGCAGTGTAGGAGTTGCTGAGGACTCGGAGTTCAGCTGCGCACAGAAGACGGGGGCAAGCAAAAGCAGTTGCTGGGGCGAAATCATCCGGGACTCGGAGTCGAAGTATAAACGTCGAAGAGCGTGCATGCTCGCTACCGAGCCATCGGCAGCGGACTTCGCATGATTCTATTTTATGTCTCAAGTCCGTGGAAGGCGACGAACTGGAGATCTTACGCGGATATGGGCGGGTAGACGTGAGATATTCGATAGTTTGAGGCATGAATGCATCCTGCCGGTGGCTTACGACGTGGGCTAGCAATCGACCGAGGGTAAGTTGTTTGGGAGATGTAGACTTGAGGGAGGACGAAACGGCTCCGTTCGCCTCGAATCCGGCAGGAAGGGAATGATAGTTTTAGCGCAAGTCCAGAGGCGTTACGTCACACCTATACTCCTCGAAGAACCCGAGTGAACTGTCGCGCAGCGTCAAGTGCTCGTCTGGCTCCTGTTGAAGTACTAATACACGACCACAGGCGCGACTAATCTCCAGGGCAATGGCTTTCAACCAACTCAGCCTCCACGCAAAACACATGGATGATGGACGTTCGATGTACTGGTGCGTATGCAGTCCTGTTCATTGTTTTCATATATCCTCATCCTCTGCAAGACCACTGACGTGGAAAACTGTCTGTTCCGAACCTTTCGCCGATGATGTTGCTGCCTTCACGAATCATTGCTCACCTCACACACTTCGACCGCACAATGGCCAAGGAGCCTGGACGGCTGAAATGCCATCTAGCCGCACGACCCTCAACATGAACCATTGCTTCCAGGGAGGGGGAAATGTGGGCGGACGATAAAGGGAGACAGGACACCAAAACTCCCGCTCTACTAGTACAGGATGTGTTTCTCGGTGCGGTCACTGTAGAGGTTTTTGACCCAGATAAGAGGTGCGTCCGCTCGCTTGTCGACTGGCATTTCAAGTTGCTAATGTCGTCTAGTCACCAGCTCCATCCCCCACGACCTTGATACTTATGAGAAAGTCATTTCCTCAAGCTCTAAAAGCCATCATCTACTCCAGACGCTCAAGAAGATAGAGAC